TTAATTATAGTATGTAGTGTAGTACCACATATTAAAAATTAGGGATTTTTCCTTTTAATGAGTATACTATGGCAAATGATCTGTCTAATCGCTAAACCAGCTGCAGATGTTAAAAATAAAGTGCAAAAAAAGAAAAAGTTCATGTAGATATATCTACATTGAAACGCCTGCCCCATAGTGGAAGATTAATATTATGAGTGAATAGGATGAATATTATGCTAGGAAGGTTTTCTTTAGTGTCTTCACAATTTTGAGAATAGCCATTGATCTTCTGAAGTTATCACCTTCTTCCGGTTTTCTTAAGTTTTTAGAAATCCATTACCTTGTGTCCCGTTCACCGTAGTCTGTTACCGTCATGCTCTGTTACCTTTCTTAGCTTGTGTTATCCTTGAAACTTGTGTTTATTTACATTTGGTGTGTGTAAAGTTTGTTTGCTTTTTAACAAAGCTGTGGTTATTTCTACATATACTTCTTAGAAAGATATATATTCACACCTTCCCCCCCAATACTTTAGAAAAAATTCCCAGAGCAGTTGCATATCTGTATGGAATTCAGGAAATGGTTGGAATTTTATAACTATTCAGGCAGTAAAGTGTGACAGACACAGATCTCATTAGCAGTGCTCCGCAGAGCCAAAAACCTACCTGTTCTGTTTTATACTGAAGCGCAAGAAAGAAATACCAGAATCAGAGAAAGATACTTTCCCTCTTCTAAAGTGCCATGAGTTAATGTACACCTTCCTGTGGCCATCAGACTTTCACAGTGTTGTCTCTTAAGATTCTTTACCAGAATCTTTGGAATGTCTTAATAAATTAAATTCAACATTGTTCATTTATCTACTGTTGTGTTAACTCATTTGCAAGGAATTCTACCATGCCAGAACTGAATAATTTACTCCTATGAAGTCATGCTGATGTGTCCCTGTCATATTATAGGTTAGAGTGTGATGCTTGATTGAAGTTATATGTTCATGTGTTTTAATAGATGTACGTGTGTTTTCATTTTTTAAGACTAAGGCTGGTAGGAGGTAGTTGCATTCTACAGGCATGTGTTTTGACAGATGGAGAGAAGCTTTTTATGTTGATTTTTCAACAGTCATCCTCTGCAAGACTTCAAGCTCTTCCTGGCTACTGGGAAATTAAAAGTTGGTGATTCAGCCTCTAATTTTGATCCATCTGCTCAAACTAATGAGATATCTCATTTGTAGGCTTCACTTTGAATTACCAAATGCAACTGAAGCTATAACATTTGTCTTATAGCACGATTTTCCTCTTGTTTAACTTGAGGAAAGATATAATGATAGATGGCTTGCCCTACCGAGTTTTCTAGGGTTTTTGTTATAGAAATTTTTTATCATGACTGAAAAAGTAAGATCAGAAAATGTCCCAAAGGTTTCCAGGTGCTTTTTAAGTCAGTGTGCTCTTTTTGTAGGATTACTAACAATGTAGATCTTCGTTAGGAGGTTTCTCTGTCAGATCCTACCTCTTAAGACTGCTTTAAGTGAGAACCTCTAGTGCTAAGTCTGCTTTCCTGGGACTGTCCCTCTGTGCTCGATATTAGCTGGTGGATATTTGTTTTCATGTCATACTTTGAATTTACTATGTTCTTAGATTATCTGAAAAGATGTTAGATCCTCTTGGACTGATTTGCGCTTTTGGAGTTTTATTTCTACCTCTTAATAAACCAAAGATTCTTTAAACAAAGAAAAAAAACCCAACTGAAATTACACACTGTTCATCAGAGAATATGACGCCATGCTCAGTTGCAGATGGAGTATTTTTGCCAGCATTTATCTTTGGGATACTGTTCCCTTGAAGACTGGGTGAAGGCTCAGTCACCAAAAATTATCATTCCCTCAAAGTGATAACAGCTGTCTCTTGTTAGGCAGTCACCAATAGTGGGCCACAGGCATTAACAGTATTAATTAGCTACAGAGCTGAAGAAACTTCTTCACATTTTATAGCCCTGTGAGAAAGGCATCTAATGGTGACAAGCTCTGGGGAGTGGGTAGCACCTTTCTGAGGCAGCCTGTAGAGAACCTCGTGAGATCAGCAAAGACAGTGACGGAAGACCATACGTATCGACATCATTTCTATAATAAATTGAAACATTCCGTTACTAGCTAGTTTAGGACGATACATATCATACTGTCTTTATCTTCACAGTGTATGAGGGGGAAAACACCCTTGTCATGTTATGCTTTGAGAAGTAACATAGTATTTTTAGGAGTTTTGAGAAATTATGGTATTTTTAAGGTTTGGGGTTTTTTTTCCTCTGAAACATATCATATGAAAATTTAACTTTAAATTCTTTTATCTAAAAAATATGGAGCTATTGCTCTTGCCAAGGTTCAGTTGCTTGTTAGTATCCTAGGGAATTAACTCTTTTTGACTCTGACTATCGCTGCTGTTATACAGGTGCACAACCATTATATCTCCTGCTGTTGCTGACCTTTTGCTGGTTTATCCCACTACCTTGGTTACAGAGAGATGATCATATGTTTCTCTCATTGTCCCCATCACCTCCTAAATACTTTGCTATTATGAATTTGTCAGAACCTTACTCTGCTTTCTTTTTTTTTTTTTTTTGTGGCCTGAACATTCTCTCTTTGTCAAAAAAAAATTAAAAACCTGAAATTGCATAAGATTCTTGGGATCTTGATGTTAATTTCTTGCATTACTAGTTAGAAGGGGAGTTGCTTAAGTTCTTTGAAAGCTTTCAGAGGAAGTACTTCCTCAAACTGCACTCATAAAACTCTCTTGTTTTTGCCACATTCCCCAGACTACTCATCTCTTCTGTTTCTGCAACCTTTTCTTATTTTTTTTCTCATAGCTGATTCTCTTTGATATTACTTAAACCTTCAAAAGAAGTTCTGTGTTCTCTTTGCCCTTGGTGTTTTAGCAGATCTCCCATACTTACTCTCTGCACCTTACTTTCCTCTCTGGGTTTTTTCCTGACCTTCAGTACTCTGTTACTCTGCTTGTCTTCAGCCACAGATCTCTACGTTTCTGTCCTGGTTCCTTACCCAAAGCACTTTGCTCGTTTGCCAATTTGGCTGTTTTCAATTTGGAGTGCCTTTGGCATGCTCCTGTCTTCTGAAACCTCTTTTCCTTTTTAATGCCTCTGTTTTCCCACTGCTTTTGAGAGTTTTCTGTGTAACTCTGAGATGATGTATTGTCTGTTTTAACTTTTCTTCCACTCGCTTTGGTACTCAGTGAAACTCCTTGAAAGTTCATTTTCTCACTGAGCTTGGTATTTTCAGTTCATAGCAAAAACTGACTGTTCAGTGGAAGTTCTCACATCTTTCTGTGGTTATTGCCCTTGCTATCTGTGCAGGCATTGAGGCTCAAGGTGTCAGTACATAAATGCTGAGGAGACATCATGGCTTTAGAGGAAGTGGTTTCAGTATGCAAGGAAGAGCCCTTCTGGTGGCCAAAGATGCCAGGTTGTCTGTTGCAAAGAACCTGGATTTTTGAAACAGCCAATAGCTATTGAAAGCCTCACCACAACATCCAAAAGCGAATGCAGTAGTAGGATTCCTACATATTTAGCAACAACTCCGGTTAACTTGAGTGGAGCAGGCTTTAGGAACTGTAAACCAGTGGAGATATGGCAGCCTTTTTAGAATTAACATGCTGGAAATCTTACTACTGAAACTAAAAATGTAGAGGAAAACTACTTAAAACAATGAACAGCCGTATACAAACCATCCGTTCTCGATGACGCGCTATGAGTGGTGATTTCAGACTGCCCGTTTTGTGATTATTTCAGCTCAGTTTTCTTAACAACCCTTTGAAGGAAAGTGCTTTTTCAAGTACCTTGTTAGTTTCTGAGCTTTTGCTCTTCTGATTTGAACTGGTTTCTTAGGTTTAGCTGGCTGCTTCTGTCTCACCGTTTTGCTTTTGCAGTGTTGTCTCAACTGCATCCGATAGACCTATGACAAGCTTTACCTTTCATCTTTTAAAATGAAATTTGGATTTTTTTTTAATGTGCAGAGTACAGCCATGTATACTTGTTAAATTTTTAATTAGTGTATGCATTGGGTGGTTAGTATGCAGTTTTCTGGAGATCAAGCTTGCTTTATTAATTAGAATTTATGTACTAAATTAAAATGTTGTCCTGTACCACTGTTGTGCATTTAGTTCATTAGAAGTAATATTGAGATGCTATTTTTTTTTTTTTTTTTAAATCTTGGAATAATTTCTAAGTATCACCTTGCACAGATTTTTAATACTTTTTCAGATCAGGATTTTTGATGTCACAGATCAGAAACAGATTACACTTGAATTTATTTAGTCAAAACTGGTTCTGTGCTATGTATTGCCCATAAAGCATTCACTTTGTCTGTAATTGTTCTCTGTTTACAATAATTGACTTGAACTCTGCAGTACTAAGAAGTGTCATCTTGTCTTTCTTACAATGCTATCATAAAATAAAAAAGAAACACTAAGTAGTTATTTTAAATGTATTATATTAAATTGTCAAAAGTGAATTTGACAGGTATTAATTTCATCTGTAAAAATGATGGATTAAATTTCTTTTTTATCAGTTTTCCAGCTGTTATTTGGTTGCAGGCAGAAGGCTTGTGAAGATAAAAGTTTAATAAGCTTAGTTACTGCAACTGTTGACAGTGCTTTTATAGCTGTGTCATAAGATAAGAAGTAATAAAACAGTATTTTCTTCAGAGGTCTCTCTGGAACTTAGTACCTTGAGAATTAAGCTTGTCCTAGTATTTTTTTCTGGGTGAAATAGTGTTTATAGCACACTTTGGACAAATAACTCTGAAAAGTTCCTGGATTTGTTACAATGTTATCTTTATCTTATAGCCTGAAGAGTTTATTTCAGTCTGAGTTTTTGGAACTCTGTATCTATACAGATTGCTTCTGCTTCATCACCTGGTGTAGCTTATTTGCATATATATGTGTATATATTGCTTCTATATTTATATATGCACACATGTATGTAAGTATATAAAAATACACAAATACAGAAGGTAAAGTGGTCTGGCAGGATAGCTGAATTATGGCTGATCATTTTAGATGTTATTTCTGTGTCAGCTGATTCAGTGAAGACTTGAATACTTTGGATAGTTTTCTGTGGAACTTCTTTTGCAGTTTTTGCACAATTAGGGCCCATTTGTATGTATGGTTTCTTTAACTAAATCACAGACAAACTAATTCAGTGATGGTGCACTATTTTTATGTTCTGCATCTTCATCATTTATTTATGCACTTCATTTCCAGAATAACTGCCTTTTGCAATTTTAAGGATATAATAGTTACTATAATCTTATGCCTGAATAAATGAAACTTTGTATCTTCCTTTAATTAAAAATACTATATTGATGTGCTCTGTAGAAGATACGCTTCAAGAAGTGTTATATACCAGATGTTTCATGTTATTGTCAAATGATACGTATTTTCCTCTATATTTTCTGGTCAAATCTGTTTGGCTTTAAACATTTAATACCTTGTCAGCTGCCTATATGAACAGCTGAGGAAATTGCTGGAAATGGATGCCATAACAAGTTATGTATATAATAACCCATTATTCTTCAATTAGGTAGCCTTCTAAATGTTTGTGTGCTACATTTCTGTGCCTTATGTTAATGTTTGGATATATGTTTGTATTTACGTAGTAGCTTGTCTGTATATGTGTACTCAGGCATTCACAATGGATTTATGTAGACCAGAAGCACCAATTTAATATCTTTCCATTAATTATGAGTTCACGAGGTGTTCAGTTTATGTCTGTAGTCTTGCACAGCTACACAATAATGTCGGTATAGGTAATACAACTGTTTAAGGTAGCAAGTGCTACTATTTAGAATTATTATTCTTCTGATCTTGTGAAAGTACATTGAATCATTAAAACAAAAAATCAAATCTAGTTCCAAATGAGTAACTTCTTATAGCCTAAAATTATATTTAAATGAAATAATCAATAGTTACATCTTGAGCCGGTTGGCCTTTTGTGGATGACCTAAGTGTTAAGTTACAGATGCATGGCTTACAAGTGTGGGAAAGGCAGCTTGACCCGTCTTGTAGCCTAATGCGATGAGTTTTACTAGCTCTATGTTAAAAGCTGTTTTTCAAACATGGGGCTGCAGACCATTAGTGGTCTAGAAGATTGTGGGAAGTTAAGTCCGTGGATCCCTGTCAGCCTCATGTTGTTCTTCAGTAAGAATTTAATGGCAACAATAAATGATACTCTGGAAGACACGTTGAGGATTGTCAGTGGTCCAAAGCTATTGAAAATTCTTGTGCTGTAGCCCTGAAAGAAATGGATCTGTGTGCTTAGTTTAACATAATAGATAGTATCAACTAATAAACTTCCTGATTATTGTCAAAACTTCTGTAAATTATTCAAAATGTAATAAGATAACTACTGTCCACCGAGACCTTATGCCTATCACAGACTTTTTAACAGACGTTACCAGAAAATCCAGTAGTAATGTCATTGGCGGGTTTTAATTTGAAATACACAGTAATATAGGATGCTATAGAAAATAAGTTATTTTGAGGAATCCATGAGGATGGGAAATAAATATTCTTTATTAAGACACTAAGATGCATCAGGAAATTCCTTTTGACTTTAGACTTCTATACACTTTCCAGAGTATGAGATTTCTCACATACGTAGTGCTGTGGTGTTGATAGTTTTCTTTGTGGTTACTGAAGAGATGACTCCAAAATATGTTATATTTGCATACACTCATGTATTTAATCATGAGGTATTTATAATTTTCTTATTTAGGAGAGGATATCTTGAGAAGGGCTAGGTATATAAGGTATGGGTTTATGAGGGACATTCTAATTGTTCTAGCGCAGTTTACTATTGTTTGCAAGCTGTTGCATCATTTAAATTCTTCATAACTTTATTAAGTTTCATATTAAAAACATTGCTTATACTTGAAGGCAGTTCTTCACTTTTCTGATGATGTAGAAAACCTTTTGATTAGGAGCAAAAAAAGCTTCTGGATAAAGGTCTGTGTTTTTAAATCAGTACTGTTAAGAAATAAGCTAGAAAACCTGACTGTTCTGTTCTTTAATTGTTTAGCAGGTTTATTTATGTTACTGGATCTTACAAAACCAGAAGATATGGAGGTTGACATGGCAATTTTCTTAATCTTTTTACTTGAGTAAAAGGAATGGGAATAGATATGAAGATTTCTCCGGTATCCTCTATGTTCCTTTCCTTCAGTAAAGCTGAATAGAATCTGCTTATCACTACTGGCTCCTGGGTTATTTTTTCATATTATGGATGGTATACATATAAGTATAAATAGTTTTGGAAACATAAGACATGACAACTCTTATTCTGGAGTGATATTTATCAAAAATATAATTTATGATAATGCAGAAACATTTTATTGTACAAATTCAAAATAGTTAATGTCAGAACAGGACAAAGGGAAATGCTTGAAACAAATTACTGCATGATCTTGTTTTTCTAAAAAAAGATGCAGTGAAAAGCTGCTTATAATTTTGAATAATAATTGTCATTCAAGTCCATTGGCATCTGCAAAAATGCAATTGTTAACTGCCTAATGACATATATTTGCATAGTAATAGACTAGCTATTCTTGCTTAGTTTTCTAGACAAGAACAGATATTGCTATTTCTATTTCTATCCTGTCAATTAAAATTCAGAATAATTTCTACTACCTGTAGGAGTCAGTAAAGTGTTGTTTGCTTGTCTTATTGAATAATTTGCCCTCTACTTTAATTTTCACTCTATTCATTTTTCCTCTGCATTTTGTCATATGTTTGGCTAATGCTACAAATTGAAGATAGCATAGATCCCATTATACTGTTCTGAAACAGGTTTCCTTTAATATCCAGAATCCATATTTAAACATTGATTCCATAACTGAGCATTTATTTTATAGGCCATCTAATATAATTCAAACATAATAAAACAAGATCGTAAACACAAGTGCTTGCAATTTTTAAAGTAATTAGTAATTTAGAACTTCCTAATGTAAATTAAATCAGACAAACCAATCAGCATATATTAGTGGAAAATGTGTATAATTGTTGTACAGGTATAAAGGAAGAGTCATGAAGTTTCATATGGGCAAGTACTTTTTACTCAGAAGCATCCTCCCGTTAGTGCTGCTGCATGCACACTGACTGTTCTTCAGTGTAAAGGTTTGATATCACCCGGGTCTCCTATTTTAATGCTAGAGGCTTAATGTCAAACTTATGGGTCCAGAACTGTTTTATCCATAGCTTTGAGTGGAAATGACACCGAAAGCCTGTATCTTTCATTTTTAAGTAGTGGCAGAAGACACAGTGTCATGTTTTACATGAGCATAACTGAGTGCCTCTGTGAAATGCCTGTGCACTACTACATGCAGCATATGGAACAAAAAGGAGAAATTAGGGGTCTGCGTCCAGTTGCTGAGCTAAGATCATATTGAGATCAGAGATGTGATGCGATAGTTCACATGACTGAGTCCTGAAATGGGTGGAAACAGGCTCTTCAGCAAGGCCAGGCCAGAACGGCAAGAAACTTGCTTGTATGTGAGAGCACAGCAGGGATAGCTGGAGCTCTGCCTAGGGACGGATGATGAGTCAGCTGAGAGTTTAGGAGGAGGATTAGCCAGCAGACAGACATGAGCAACATTGTTGTGCGAGTTTGCTACAGACCTAGTGACCAGGAATAAAGTAGATGAGGCCTTCTTCAGACAACTAGAAGCAGCCTCATAGTCACCGTCCATGGTCTTCCTGGGGGACTTTACCACCCCAATATCTGCTGGAGGTACAATACAGCAGGGCAAAAGCAATCCAGGAAGTTTCTGGAGTGCATTGATGACAACTTTTAGCACAGATGATTGAGGAGCTGATAAGGGTTGATGCTGTGCTGGACCTTGAACTTAGAAAACAGGAAGGAGAGGTTGGGGATGTGAATGCTGGGAGAAGCCTTGGCTGCAGTGGCCATGAGATGGTGGAGTTCAGGATTCTGATGGAGGGAACAAGGCAAAAAGCTAGACCACAGCCTAGCACACCTTAACAGAGAGGTGTTAAGTGAAACAGAGTTGCTGAACTCAAGCATTCAGTGACCAGCACTCTAATAACAAGATGGAAAGATACCTGAAAGAGTCAGTGTGCTTCCCCAAAAAGATGAATGCACTGTTTTGGAGTTATCATAGAGAATGTTAGTTTGAAAGACACGTTTTCCAGTAGCAAAAGTTAGTGCAAGCATCTTTACTGTCCAAGGTAGGAAGAAAGGTGTTTCAGAGGATTTCAGGTACCTGATTATAAATTTTCATGAATGATTTTAGACACTTGTTACGTGTGTATGTGGTGTGTTTTTTCTTTCTCCTCTAAGTGAAAATGTAAGTCCTACTAGCATCTAGTTACGTGTCTCTGATAACAGAAAAGTACTAGTTCTTGTAGGTATTTTGAGTAATAGCGTGTTTTTCAGTGCTTTGGTGATGCACTAACATGTTTCAGAAAGATTACAATCTGGAATATGCAACACTTCGGGAATGCAAGCACTTCCTGTTGTGATTTTTGAACAAAGTCTTTGGTGAAAACGTTTGATTTGTTTCATACTTTAAGAAAATTCTGGGGAGGTAACCTAGCTAGAGACATTTGCTTTCTCCTTTCTTGTATATTTTTTATCATTTAAAAGCTTTGGTTTCAGCAGAGCAGCAGCAGACGCTTTCAGCACTAGGGCTATATACACCAGAGCTAGCTTTGAACTACAGAGTACAGATCTAATTACACAGCTTGTAGCTGTGGAACCGCTTCTCTCTAGTCTAAATTACTTTTCCTAACTTATTTGCATAATTTAATGCACAGAGATTTTGCCACTGAAATATAATATTCTCTGACACAGTTAGGACAGGCTAAATTAACCCCCTTAAGACTATATTGCTGTTTCACAACGTATTTGGTAAATGCTTACCAACTTCATTGGGGAAAAAACATTCAACAAGGCGTTATATGTCAATTTTTAGTTAGGGATGGTTCTTTACAAACATATTTGGTGATGTACAGAGATTACAAGTAAACATTAACCTTAAGATTGGGCACCTCTAATCAGCTAATAAAGCAGTCTATTGTTTTTAATCAGACTTGGTCTGTCTACCTCTCACTGAGTTGTTTTTTATTGTCAGCAATTTGTGCAATCATTTTAAATTTAAAAATTCAGTCAGGTGTTGATATGTGATCATGAAATACATAAAAGTCAATGAATTCAAGTGTGCGTTATTAGTTTAAAGACAGTGGGAGGTAAATTTCATAAAGAAAATGTGCTACACATCTGAAAATGAGGTATCTTTCTATAAGAACTGTAGAAAGGCTTCTGGGTAGAGGACAGTTATACAATGCTTGTTTCTTAGTTATTGTTTGCATAATAAGGTCTTATGTCTTTCTGAATGAATGATGTGAGACACTGTCACACAACGATTCTGTAAGAAGAAGCAGCAGCCATATAAAAGGTGTTAAGAGGGTACCAAATGTCGTCTTTGACACAGTGAATATTCTGAGGGGTTTTATGCATTAGACCTTTATTTCTTTTTGTTCATTTAGTGCAGGAATTTAATATGTTAAAGAAGTAGTTCTGTGTCAGGACACATCTTCATTCCAGAAGGTTGAAATCGTGTGATGGATACAATAAAGAATAATAAAAAAAGAAGAGATGGCCTGTTATGGAGGACAAAGAAACACTTCACTGAAAATTTAGATTTAGTCCCTGCCTCTGACAGTTTATGTCTGATGTT